TCTATCTGGCTTCGAATGGGCTTAGTGTTTGACTTCACACGAACTGTAAAAATGTCTACTAGTATTCTGGACATCAAGTTAGTGATTTAAGCGATAGTGAGAAAACGCGCGGTGAGAAAAAGGGGAAAGAAGCTCGAGAATGGGCCAGGTTTCGGAATCGGTTCACGCTGCATCGAGATTTAAAAAAATCTGCATAAAAGATTAACTTTCACCTTACTACTCAGGAACTATTGCTAATCGACTAGGGCTAAGCCCAATGGATAAAATTTGCCGTATATGATTAGCATTGAGTAAACGTGCTATTCCCCAGACTTGAAGCTAATATAAGCCAGGTAAACGAAGTCTGTGCAAGGAAATTCAGTAAAAGACTGATGTCACTACTGATTTGGGAAATGGTGTCGCGTGCAAAATGAGGTCTTGAAGAGGAAGTAGCCATCCACTTTTAGCAACATCAATATTCAAGTTGTGCATGAGTTTTGGGCTTGGCTGAAATGTTTGGTGGCAACTGGAAAAATTTTGCTTAGAAATTAGCCGTCGAAACGAGGGAAGCATCAAGGCGACACCTTCCTCTTTTATCAGCTTCGCATAGAATTTATTGGGTCGATAGGGAATGTCTCGAGCCCACTTCGCATGGCAAAGTACCGAACAGTATTGGATGATTCTCTATCTGATCTTGCCATCACGTATGCCTTTTTTGGATTTATTGGCTCTTTTATCGATAATCAAAAATTCTCTCAGCTGCGTGCATGTGATGACTGCAAGCAGACCTATTTTCCGCAGACACAATCTTTCCATTCTTAAAACTCTATAAGAGGCGACATCTTCTGAATTGAAATTTCTGAAGTATCAACCGGAAAACAATCGTACTATTCTCATCCTCTATTTATACGCTTATTTTCTATCTCCGACCTAACCATGCAATTCCTCAACTTTATCATCATATCAATCTACCTCTTTTGGACGCTGGGTCTAGCTCTACCAGCGCACGAGTCAAAGGTTGTAGAGAGAAATTTTGGACCGGATCACAAAGGCTATCAGTGCGGCACGAAGAAGTACATAATGTTTGACATTGATGTCGCCGTAAAGAATGCCTGTCGAGCGTACTCCTATCAGAGAAAGCCAAAGACATTTTGGAGCATTTTTAGAGATGATTCGTATCCTCGGCTATTTCCAGAAGCAAAGAGCTTGAAGATTCCGAGCAAAGCGCAGATGTGGCCACTTCCACCGACAGGCCTGAGTAAGTTTTCATCACTGATCTTCCGAAAAACAAGTGAACGCCAATTACTTCTGTTTCCATACAGGTTGAAGTAGATGAACCTGAAAAAGCAAAAAATAGATTCATTTCTTTCATTACTCTAACGTATGAGCAACTAATGTTATAAATAGATGTTGTTAGCTACAATTATGTGATTTTCACGCCTGCAGACTGCAAATTTGTTAAGGTTGTGCACAAAAGTCATAAAAAAAAGCATGAAAAGCATGAAAAATATGAAATCTGCAAATATGTTGTTTGGCCGAGTAGCTGGACTGATATGTAAGTTTCTGACCGGCAGACACTTGTTGTGCCGCATTTCAAGCTGGAAATAACCCTTAAGCCTGGTAGATTTAAACCGTCGAAGAGATAGACAGCTGAGTCGATCCGGTCGAAATGCATTTCGAACCTTGTGCTTCAATCGGCGTTTGGTATTGGAGGGTGGTGATGTGCATAGTATTTTAGACTGTTGGAAATTCTGACTCTCGAATTTAGGACTCAACCACTACCTGCTTCGTCTCAGGTTCCCGACAAGATCGACTCTCTCTACACATGTCACGAGTGCGCTAATCGCGCCTACTGTTGCATTTACAATTGGATATTTACGTACTACAGTGTACCTTGGATCACCATGGTAGATGAGAAGTGGCTGGTCATCACTTGGTTTGACAGGCACATGAGACTAGTGGGAATTTCTCCCCTAAGATGTATATATAAGTCCAATGTTAACATAGTCGTAAAATATCAGGTCTTCTTTTCTTCATCATATTTATCCATATAATATCGTACGGAGTATATTTTCCAACATAGACTTGATATTTTCATTAGAATTGGAAGTTTCATGGGTTAAATAGTTGCGCTAGATCAAATAGTTCGGTAGGTATGTGAATACTGGTGTTCTATGTCTGGAATAATGATACGAAAATAACAGTTTTGTAGCGACGACTTTTTTGCATCAGGTTTTAACTGCGTATGCAGATTTGTAGCTATGACACAATGTCAGAGAAAATGTACAGAAAAGATGACTCAATTTACAAGAGGAGTACTCATTCCTCGGATTTCATTTGCAAGTACCACTGCAAAGTTATGGTGGCTTTTTCTTCACATCAAGTCAACCCTCATCCGTGAATACCCACCCAGGGGAACATCTCAAAAACCCTGGGTTATCCCGACATGCCTCCATCATTCGTTCACATTTCTCCGCGCGAAATGTGGTCTAGGGTATCTCCATCCCAAATGGAGTAGATTCGCAGGCTATTCAAACCATACCAGAGAACACCATCATGAGGCGGACCACGGCATCCTCCCTCGTCGGCTTGTTTTAAAAGTGTCAGTTGCACTTTCACAACCGAAGTCTTGGCGCACACAAAGCTCATTTCGTAAAACTCTTGCCAAGATTCCAAAATTCACGGCCATCAAGATTGTATTCATCCTTCGCATCAGCTTGTGAACATGTCCTTACCCCTCTCACGTCAATCCCAAAGAACTGCCGCCTGGATTTGTGCACCACGCTTTTTTTCCCCCGTCGGGTGTAAATATAGGCGTGGGCATGTATTTGGCGAGCAGTTGAGGCCAGAGAATAGTCCACGAGAGGTGTGGCCATTGGAATGAGAATGTACTTGGTCTTACTTGAAGACTTGGCCAGAAGTCAAACTCTTTGGGAGTGAAAATTTGAGGTAGTTGACGTGAAGTAATTTGAATTATTGCCTCGTGGGCCAACTTCTTTGATATTGCGGGATCTGTCTGAAATTGGCTTGGGGAGAATATTTTACTCTCAGTTTCGTAGAGAACACCGAGTACAGGTGTTCAGTCTTGCCCTCCAGATTCAAGATTAGTACCCAAGTAACCTTATATCATAATAACTACCCCTGATGAGTACTGATTGAATCATAAACTCAATGAGCCCTTTTCCCTTTATTGCCTCCGCTTTCCAGTCATCAAAACTAGAGCGATTTGTAGGTGTCGGTGTATTACCATATGGATTTCTCAATTACAGTTATGTTTATTGATTTACTGTAGGTATATTGTAGTTGATAATTGCTTGATTGTTTGATTGTTTGGGACTGGATGACGTCATATTGTCTTCGCACTTTTGTTGTGATCCTAGTCTGCGGAAGGAAGCAAGGGCTTCATCGACAAGACTCAGTGATGAAACAAAATGACTTTAGTTATACAAGCTCATACAAATGCATGACTCAGATGTGAGTCGTGCTCATTATCAGGAGCTTAAGGATTAAACAATGTCGATACGCATCACATGAATACATCAGAAAAATCAATGGACACGGCTGTAGGATAGATCGTACATGTATATTATCAGGTCCATTTACTTCTTAGGTAGATGATCCGTTCATCTTTAGATATCCATATTATTCTCAGATAGTCTAAATACATTCGCCCACCACCAGAATATTCATTCCACATTCTTCTTTACATATATACTATCCTCCCACCATACTTATCCATCTAACCTCGTAATTATAACAACTTTGGCTTAAATAGCCTGTTTGTGACATATTTATCCTTTTAAAATATACTACTAGATAGATGGACCATTGCACAGCAGTAGAACCTACTGGATTACATTATCCGAGACTACTGATATTATGTTCATGGCAGCCGCGAAGAATGGCTAAAATAACCGAGTGCGGGGAAATTTTAATTCCGACATCAGGACCCAATCCATAGATCCACTCATGTGAAGCGCTCAAAGCGGCTAGGCGATGTACGCTTTTGTGAGGCCCAGGTGTTCACCATCTGTCTTTCTAGCCTCCTTCCGACTCTCTCCCCAAGGTCGTGTTAAAATTTCAGAAAAGTCTTGACAGAGTGAGATTGTAGTGGAGCAGCTGGACCAAACTTCCTCGTGTCGCAGGATCGTTGGTTATAGATGACCTCCCGGCCTGTTTTTGAGTCAATCTTGGATCTCTGGACACCAAGGTAAGAGTTGGAGGTTCGGACGGAAAACCGTTGACAGGTGTTGAGTATTTGTCTCTGAGCAAATCGCTCAATCAAGGCATTCGGCGTTTCCTTCTATTCAAATTGTGTTAATGCTCTGGAAGTTTGAAGGCATCAACATTGGTAGTCAAGTCATTCTGGAATGATATTTCCATTAAATCTTCTGGCTTGTAGGGCTTTGTGATCACTCTAAATCCCATCAATTAGATGAGCATTTAAGGCAGCAAAACACTTATAGTATTACAGCTTGGACATGGGAGAGGTCATCACTCATAGCCAAACCAATCGTTTTACATCGACCGCTAAGGATAACATTATCTGCCTTCACCTCGTGTTGACGTCTTGATCTGAACCTTGACATTTCACCATGATTCTTTGGATTCATTTGCTATTCGAAGTATAAAATTACAATTCACGCCACGCTAGCCATTTACACCTGATAGGAGGAGTGCTCAAGCTTTCTCTGCTACCTTTTAACGTTCAGAATCGCGTAGGATAGGGGTTAATTTAAAGTGAGAATAGACAGATTCCAGGAATTTCGGAAGCGATATTCTACTTAGCTGATAGGGATGATTCGCAATTTGTCCTTATTTTTCAGTTAATCTAAGGAATATCTTTGAAGTGATGTAATAATAATATTAGACCCAACTTCACATTGTTTATTTATCTTACAAGCTATGAATGGAAACAGTTTTTAAACTACAAAATCATCGTGAGCCTTACATGCTACATTTCTGAGATCGACTCCTGCCATTTATTAGGGAGGGCAGTCCAGTTAATTAATATTCACTTTTTAATTCGAATTTTGATCTTTCTTCGAGACGTCCACAACTTTAGTTGTTGCGTCGGTGTCCGTGGTTTTTTCTGATTCGTCTGATGGCATTTTCTTCCCGGCGACCTTTTTATCCTTTGAGACGGTACTAGAAGGGCTACTTCGTCCAAAGCTACCAAGTATGAGAGCTATTAGTGTAACGACTACGGCACATATTCCCCCAGAAATCTCAGGCACCAGTGTAATGGCTTGTATCAGATCTCTTTGAGCTAGCGTGTAGAAAAGATCAAACTTTTGGCGAATGTAAAGAATAGGGTTGTCCGTAATCTTGAGGTCAGAGTCGCCAGCTGGTTTGAGAGGAGAGTCCTTGGTTTTATCTGCAAGTTCTAAGAGTTGTTCATGAGGATGTTTTTCGTGGAAAGTTTCATCTGCGAAAGAGTGAGCATCAGCTACGTTGTGGCCAATAAATATGTTGTCAAATAGGATGTCTTTTTGCATAGTCCAGAGCTCAAATCCAATTGCTCCAATCGGCTCAAGATTTGCCGGGTTTTTAATCTCATAGTATGCAGGGTTCTTTATCTTGCGTGGTGACCATGGGCCTTTGTAGGCTGGATTTTCAATTAGTGGTGCAGACCACTTTCCTTTGTACTTGGGATTTTTCATCATAGGTTTCGTCCAAGGTCCGCAACCGGAGACTTCATCACATTTGGGGTTATTCACGGTTGGTGCCTATGTTTAATAAGTCAATAGTTTTCAATAGCAGAGGCGCATTGTGCACTCACCACCCAATCTCCATCTTCTTCATCGTCCCAATCTTCTGGCTTTTCTGCTTCAGGGTCAGGGATAATTAGTGATTCATTTTCTAGCCAATCTTCCGGCATTGTTGCGTTTTCATCAACAATCTCGAATGGTGCGTCTTCGTCCCAGTCTTCTGGCTTCTTGGCAGAAGGATCGGGAATACGCTGCTCATCAACCCAAGTTTCGGGTTTACTATCTTTTGGATCATCGATCTCGGCTGGGGGAGAAAACGCGGGCTCGAAGTCCTCAAGAAGATCAAATTCCTTAACTTGCTCGTCGTTGAGTTTAATTACGCCAGTATTATTCTGGTGTATAATCAAAGTGTAGAGTTCTGTTGTCTTAGTGATTCTGGCTGGTGGTGGAGCCTTGAGATGTTTCTCCTCATATTCACCTGTCTTAGGGTTTTTGTGATTGATAATCAAATGTACCTTGTTGGTGGCGCCACACTTGTCAGGGCCAAACATTATCACGTACGGGCTAGCGTTGGAAAATTCTTCCTGACGAAGCGTTTTAGTATCACGGAGTAGCTTCATGTACGCACCACCACATTCAAGGCCCCCTAGATAGTAGTGAGCAGAAGCATGAGAAATTGTTGTAGTGTATGTTACCTTGTAACTTAACTTCATACTGGACAACTAAAGTTTTGCCTTTGTTATCAATTTTAGGAAATTGTGCAGAGATTGCATGATGAGCAGCTTGAGTTTTTAAGACCAATCCCTTATCTCCTTCCATCCCCTTGAATACGGTAGGCTCCTCAACGGAGAATTCTCCAACGTAGGCCCACTCTTCATCTTTGTTAGTTGCGCCTTTGAGATCTTTCTTTGCGTGAGATGGCTTCCAAATCTTATCCCATCCATCTACGAACTGTTCGACAAAAGCAGCTTTTATTGTGGTTGGCTATTGAATTGTGAGTATGGGCATTTGGTAGCCTCTAAGGATCAGCGGGACTCTTACGGTAAATATCGGTATGGAAGGCGAGGAGCTAGCAGGCTGGGCAGAAGCAGTAGCAGAGCTATCATCGCTCAAGATAGATTGTTCATTGTTATTCGCATATACTCCAGATAATAAAGCAGTAGCTGAGAGCACCGCTGCTGGTGCACCGTAACGCATGGTTTTAGTGAAATGATTTTATTCCCACTGAGAGTGACTGGGAGGATGGCGTTGATGATGTTGAATGACCAGGTGTGATGCTACTCACAAAAAGGGTTCCTACCGTTAGGGCCGCAGTGTGAAAGGGGAAGACGCAAAGATCGTCCGATAGGTGGCGAACACGGTGGCCTTAAGGTAGCCTGGGACTAGGGTTCTCAAAGCTCATTTAGGGCGATGTACCCGCAGAAGCGCATGGAAGCTTGTTGAAGTGAATCGAAAAATGTAGAAAATCAGCCAGGTCGTGTGTGTCATGTGCACTTTTCATCTAATGCACTGAATTGAATCCCAATAATTTAGGTCATATTTTAAAACATATAACTAAATATCTATAAGTAACATGAAATGGGACGTTGAAGGCCTCAGAGTTTTCTCTCGGTTTCTATTCAAAGCCTATTTACATTGAAGACAATTAGGGGCCAGCCACTGAGGGTTCAAGTGTCAAATTTGCGATATACTTGTGTTATTTAAATTTAGTTGAGAACTTTGATGGACCACATTTATGTCTATGTCCTGAAAGATAACTATATAATCAAGCAAGTATGCGGCGCAGAAATCAAGCATGTCTGCCTGCTTGCTGTAAAAGTGCAAAATTGTTGCCTCAATAGTACGCAGTCAGGCTAAGTATACTTTCAGAGTGAAGGCGAAACTGTACAACCCGCTATGGTTGGATGGTGCAGTGGTACATCTTCTAGGCCGGTGTCCCAAGTGTTGAAATTGGCGATACTTGGCAACGGAGGGTCGCATGAACATGGAACGTAATAGGGTCCGTATATTATTAGCCACAATTATGGCGACCCATACATTGACCAGGAGGGCAAAACTGAACACCTGTACGCGGTATCCTCTACGAACCTGGGAGTGAAATATTCTCCCAGAGCCAAGTTCAGTCAAACTTCGCAATATCAAAGAAATTGACCCACGAGGCAATGATTCAAACTACTCCACCATGTCAATCTTTCACTCCCAAAGAGTCCGATTCTCAACTAAGCTTCATCAAGTCTACAAATACGACCTAGTACATCCTTATTCCAATGATCACACCTCTCGTCGACTTTCTCTGGCCTCAGCCGGTCACCAAATACACGCCCACGCCGATATTTACACCCGACGGAGAAAGCAAAGCATGGAGCACAAATATGGGAGATAGTTCTTTGGGATTGGCGTGAGAGGATTAAGGACAAGTTAAGAAGATGATGCGACGGATGGATACAGTCTCAACGGGCGTGGAAGTTTGAATTTTGGCAAGGAGTTTTTACAAATTGAGCTTTGTGCGTGCCAAGACTTCGGTTGCGAGAGTGCAGGCGACACTATAAACATCGCCATGGTTGGATGGTGCGGTGGTACATCGTCTTGGCCGGTCTGCCAAGTAGAGTCTGGATAGCTTGGACACATATTCCACTCGAGACAGTAGATCATTGGTTCAAATCCGGCAAAACACAACCACATTTCTCGCGGCGCTGGTATGCATAGATGACGAAGGCATGCTTGGAATACCAAAGGTTTTGAAACGTCCCTTTGGTGGGTACTTACGGAGGAGGGTCGACTGTTTATGTAAGCGAACATACCTCACAGTGGTATTTGCGAATGAAATCCAGAGTATGAGTGTCTCTAACGTCAAAAGAGTCATCCCACATGTATACATAGCACCGGTCATATGTCATAGCTTTATAGCTGAATACACTTAAATGATTTAAAAAAAATTGGGGGAAGCTCGTCCCTTATCCCTTTGCTTGTTCGCCTGTAGACCGATCACGTTACCAGTATGCAGCTCACCAAAGTGTGCAACCAACTGATCCGCCATGCCTACTAACTATTTAGCGGGACTCAAACACGTACTAGTAGCTCTGTCTGTACCGGTGGTAGATTGTTTCTCCTCTCTAGCATGTAGATTTACATTTTAATTCTGTCCGCAGTATAGTTAACAGAAGACCCAGAGGAAGGGTACTTTTGGTGTACTTTTAGTTTGGGGCACCAGGCAGGATGGCCAGGGCACAGGTAGGTGATGCCGGGATCTTAGGAGCGTCGGCACGTCGGGTAGTTTTTCTAGACTGAGCTAACCGGCATGTGACCTTGGGAAACGTGTTGCGCGCTGGTACGACGTAAAATAAAAAACAAAACATAAGCAGCCATACCATTTGTCCTATATCAACAACCCATCTCTCATACTGCACACATCACTACTTGTAATGTCGTTATGTAGAGACAAGATCTCCTCCATGCGCCATAATGCCATGCTGCCATAATAACTACATAGCTGAGCATAACAGCGGTTGATTGTCATTGTTAGTGTATGGAACGAGTGATGAACGGTATCTAATTTGGATTTGGTCTATTAAGAATACTATTAAGGAAATAATGACTCCTCAGTCATTGAGGTTGTAAAGCGCATTGATTCAAATAACTACCGAAGTGAAACTAAGTACAAAATTTGTAATCATGTGTGTAACAACAACGTGGCCCACTTGATAGCCCCAATTATTCTAAATTCTAAAAAATACATGTATATATGCTGTCTAGGAATCACCAAAACACATTATTAATTAATTCTATCGAGCACTTCTGTTTCCACAGTTTATCACATAATCTCCCGGTCCATCTAGAAATTTTTCTATTCGTAAATCACGCCCATTTTTTTGAGCCGCCTTACTGTTGTGGTTATGAGCTATGCGGAAGTCACATTGCGGAGTGATGAGGAGTAGATGATGTTATAATTTGTGGTTGACAGTGAATAGACTCATACAATACTATGCTGTAGGTATATGGACAGAAAGTGTAAGACTAAACCTGTATCCATTTATTGTGGGTACATATATGAAACTATATACATGCTCGCCTAACCAGTACACTAGTTATCATGATTGGTATATGATTTGGGAATGTACACTTGCGCTGGAACAGCTAAGACAGTATGTGGAGAGATGTCTTCATTAATGTGCAGAAGTGAAGTGACTATGATAATTGTTATGTTACAGATTGGGGGAAGCTCGTCCCTTATCCCCTAGCTTGTTCCCTTGTAGACTGATCACGTTGCCAGTATGCAGCTCACCAATGTGTGCAACCAACTGAGCAGTCATGCCATTTATCCTATATCAACAACCCATCTCTCATACTGCACACATTACTACTTGTAATGTCGTTATGTAGAGACTGGATCTCCTCCATGCGCCATGATGCCATGCTGCCATAATAACTACCTATGCACCAGCTACTAGATCTACCATACTATATAGCTGAGCATAACACTAGTGATGTATGCTGTAGCCTTGAGCCACACGCGATGCCCTAGCCTCGACTACCTCGCTGTCTCATATCATAACACTTACTCATCTTACCCATACCGATTTCCAATCTTAAGTCTATGACACAGAGGTCTATAGAGCTGTGGCCACTGTTGAGGCAATCATTATTAGGTAGCGCGATTGAGGCCACAGGGCTATCTAGGTCCTCCTTGACAATTCTGCGGCAGTTCAGGTACTACTGCTGGGATAACTACCTTATCAACCTAGCAGTTACAGAATTTCTGGAAGATTGCTTCAAGAGCAGATGCTCCCTTAAACGTAGGGTGGAATACTTGACACTCAGGGATGTCAGGTAATAAAGTAGCGGGCAGGCACGCTCAAAGAAAGCTCAACTTGCTAGATAATGCCAGGATAAAGTATGATAGAATAACTCTTGCTTCGTTAGGAGGCCAAGCTCGTGAACTGAATAGGCAAATGCTGATGGACTGCTGACATTTGAACTGTCCTAAACGCTACGCCAACCTCGAACTCGGGACGGAGCGTTAGAAGCCGCCAGAACTAGCGCTACCGAGAGTAGTCTTCGCTGAACTGCTTGTCGCTCAAACTGGACACGGTAACTCGCGGCGTACCACTATCTCTTCAATCATGCGACGGCCATACTCGACTATGAATGTGGTAGAGAAAACTCAATCAGTCACCTTGTCCAATGCAGAAAAGCGCTGGCGATTTAGCGGCTCAAAAACAGAAGACGGAGGGTATAAGCACTGAATCCCTGCTCGGATCAAGAGGATGACGGTTGTTCATGGATTACGTTAAGGAGAGCAGAATATACGCGACCGCTAGTCGGGAAATGGTGGGGATACCTGAAACTGGAAGGTTATAAGTGAAAAGGTTAGGTGATTTGGCAAGGAAAGAGGGTTTGGAATCGACACTCGGGCGTGTTGTGGCCGAGGAAGAATGATGTAAGGGAGATCGCATATGTTTTTCTTTCGTAAAGGCGGGATTTCGCATTGAAGTTTTCTTATGTTTTTAGTCTGGGCTACTGGGGTCGTAATGAGTCAATACACAGATGCGTTTCGGCAGTGTTCCGGTCAGTTAAGTGGGACGAGGCATATTTATACTTCACGGTAGTTAACCTGATCCGGCCCGGCCCCACTCGTGCTTCAGCTCCAGTGGGAGTGCGATAGGTTTCACTTAACCTAGCACGTAAATGAACAAACAAACGGAGGGCAAGACTGAACACCTGTACGCGGTATCCTCTACGAACCTGGGAGTGAAATATTCTCCCAGAGCCAAGTTCAGTCAAACTTCGCAATACCGAACAAGTTGGCCCACGAGGCAATGATTCAAATTACTCCACCATGTCAATCTTTCACTCCCAAAGAGTTCGATTCTCAACTAAGCTTCATCAAGTCTACAAGTACGACCTAGTACATTCTTACTACAATGATCACACCTCTCGTCGACTTTCTCTGGCCTCAGCCGGTCACCAAATACACGCCCACGCCGATATTTACACCCGACGGAGAAAGCAAAGCATGGAGCACAAATATGGGAGATAGTTCTTTGGGATTGGCGTGAGAGGATTAAGGACAAGTTAAGAAGATGATGCGACGGATGGATACAGTCTCAACGGGCGTGGAAGTTTGAATTTTGGCAAGGAGTTTTTACAAATTGAGCTTTGTGCGTGCCAAGACTTCGGTTGCGAGAGTGCAGGCGACACTATAAACATCGCCATGGTTGGATGGTGCGGTGGTACATCGTCTTGGCCGGTCTGCCAAGTAGAGTCTGGATAGCTTGGACACATATCCCACTTGAGACAGTAGATCATTGGTTCGAATCCGGCAAAACACAACCACATTTCTCGCGGCGCTGGTATGCATGGATGACGAAGGCATGCCTGGATAACCAAAGGTTTTTAAATTCCCTTTGGTGGGTACTAACGGAGGAGGGTCGACTGTTTGTGTAAGCAAACATACCTCATAGTGGTATTTGCAAATGAAATCCAGAGTATGAGTGTCTCTAACGTCAAAAGTGTCATCCCACATGTATACATAGCGCCGGTCATGTGTCATAGCTAGATAGCTGAATACACATTAAATGATTTAAAAAAAAAGAACAAACAAACATAGTCTAGACATGCACTGACGAGGTTCGATATTGAAAAATAGGGCGCTAATTAATTAAAAAACATGTGGTACCAAGGAAAGTTTGTGCAAAAAAAGGAATATAATTTTTGGGTTTTACTGACCCGTCAATTTAGCAAACTTTACGATAAACTCCTAAAGTTTCTCGGAATCCTTGAGTTTTCCCGTGAAGTTGAAACTAAGAAACCTCTTTTGAATCGTTGTAAAACTACGATAAGTTAGTTGATTTAGATGGTTGTGGTACCATTGACTGGCAAGATTCACAAGAGAAAGGCACCTAAAAAGCTCCATCAGAAAAAATTGCACAATCTTTCTAAGATCTCTATACATGATTCGTTTACCATTTGTACAGCGGTTAGAGATAATTTCATGTAATATTAAGAAGCATGAGTACACCGAATAATGCATGGCGGCCCAGAGTGCGACAATATGCGAGAAGCTGTTCACATGAGATGCCCAATTTGCACTGATGTATTTGGAACTTAAATTACCAACATATAAGCATACTCAAGCTATAGGCACAATGTCACTTAACCAAGGTAGGTTAAGCTTTCGCATCTCAACTGCAAGCTGAAAGAGATAATCAAGACTAAAGCTGTGAGCAATATAACCGTTAGGAATGGTAAGATTATCTACCTTTCAGCTTGTTGTTTCGCTTTGCTGACTGTCTCACCCCAGACGTAGAGGCCGTGTCTCCGCACAAGCACAGCATATGTGTCGGGAAATTTGTCCATGCAGGCTTCCAGGCTTTCAGTCAAGTCCTCTTCAAAAGGAGTGTTCTCTATGATGGGAATGCGAAGGGTATCATGATACCCGAGCGAACTTTGTTTTTTCCAGCCACTCCCAAAGGCCTTGATTTGTTCAATATTATTGATTTCAAACAGCGTTTGGTTGTGCGCATTTTGTTCTAAGAGTAATGTTATGAGAACTGCCCATTGTGAGTGGGTGTGGATACAACACCCGGCATTGCGCTTCTTAAATGCAGCCATAAAGAGCGGAGTACATTGTGACGGCTTCAAGTCTCGAGGAGATCGGAGGTAAATCCGCTTTTTCGGGTCTTGTTGCTTGGAGAGTTCGAGAACATAGATATCTTCGGGCTGAATGAGCTCTTTCTGAACACCGGATGGTGCAAGGTATACCAAATCTCTGTGCGAAATAAGCGGATGAACGTTTCTGAAAAAGACGATTTTTTCACGTACCCAGTTCTGATACTCGCTCCTCCTCCAGTTCCTCCAAAACAAGTGTCAGGCATGATCTGTTGAATAGGTGGAGTAGATTTCCATACCGGTCACCCAGCCCAGAGTCCAGAATTTCCTGCAAAGTTCCGGAATAAGATTGGCAGGGTGATTTCTATCTGATGAAAGAACTAAATGGTCATTGTTGTCGATAGCTGTAGGCATGATAAGTTTTTTTTGGATCTATGAAAAGAAGATTCCAACGAAACGCCGTGTACAAATAGATTTTCAATATCAATCAGAATAGCAGCATTACAATGAGGAGAATTTACCTAAACGATTACTAAGATTACTTTCATTGGGATAGATTCGGCATTGCACATGAGTATGGTGCAACCTTATATCACTGCCGTCATTATAGCACCACCCATTCCTAGTAAGCGGGTTAACTGGCACGTGCAAGTCTTGGTAGACTAAACATGCTTTAAACCCATCTAGGTGTTTCCAGGGGCGCAGATTCGTAGGGTTAGGGCCTGTACTCTCCCGCATCACTGATGCCATTTTGATGACGCTAGGACGGAGATGTCGGCTACCGCACAACTTGGTTGTTGGTGCTATAATTATGTTAATGAATAAGAACGGAAATGAGCGTCTATGCGTTTGTCGTACTACTTGAGTCATAGAATATATAGCACATTGGGCTCCTCTCTGACCCAGGTCATATCTAACACAGTGCTCTTTGCCTCTCATGTTCCTTGAAAGATCATTGATCTATTGCCCTTGATGAGTTGCCATTCAGCTCAGTATTTACCCGTGAAATTCGGCCACCTTTTCCACGGAACCTTCAACCCAAAAAAATAAAAATGGAAGCAATGGGAACTGTGTGCGCGGGAAAAAGTCTCAAAAAACCTGTAGCCCCAGCCAGGCGAAGCATAGACACCGGGACCACATGAGGCGCTCATATTCATCTATATCTCCCTTCTTTGAAACAGTCGAGGTCGACTTGATCCGATTCACCACCTCCGTATCGGGTGCTGGGTACGCTCCGGAAACTCATTGGATGGCTTTTCCTCCATGATCAAGGGCTGGTGACGAGTAGGGCTCCGACCCTACCATCTGATCTGATCGTGGTTAGCTTCATGACAGTGGTGATAGGGGAATGCGTTGAGAGATTAAGACGATGCAGACGGTGAAAAAAATTGGGAATTCTAATGGAAATGAAGACGAAAGTGTTACTTAACCTCGGCTCTGCAGACTTTACACTGAGAGCCGGAGGTTCGTTTGGGACACCACTGACAGGTGTTGAGAATAGCCCTGCAACAGATATGGGTAAATACCTGTAGACGGTATCATTTCTAATGCTAAGGATGAGGTGTGCCCCCGGGGCTGATACTCGTAAGATTTTGAAATCCACAAAATGAGTCGCCGAGTAAATATCCAAAGATCTCTAGGCTCCTAAATTGAGTCATTTTGGCTAAGTTATATTTTTTCCCTGGACAACTGCATGCTTACACGCACGATCAAGTAAACGACCTGATTATTGATTGAATGCTCAATCTATGAGTCTTCTGGCCACGAAAACTCATTCTCTACTGCTACTTTCTAGATGGTAACAGCTGATGAGACATGTAAGTCTAGTAGAATTTAAAGAGTTTTGCGTATACACATGGCTAGCTTAAATGAGAAAAGAAATAGATAGGGTTAGTTATTGCGCGAGTTGCATTTCAAATTGGCGGGGTGGCTCGTGTATTGACAGCGAATTGGGTTTTCACGGAAGGAAGCAATATGCGCGCCGAGCATGCAAATGCGGGTGATAGGCGACCTAGTGAAAACCGGGAGCAAAGGCACTCTGCTTCATCTTTGTGACGTGTACCGTGGTGCCACGATTTCAAGTTTTCAGTGGATTCATATGGGGCGCATATTCGCTACAGGGGCTTCACCCCTGTTAGCGCCAATTTCGACAGGGTACATAATTCCTGTCCTGTATTTCCAGGCATAAACCGAGGGCACAATTTGATTTCATGTCACCCTCAGCTTTATGCAAATCCAACCCGCTCTCCAGTTCTTTCCCATTGCTTTGATGAGCGCCGACCGCTAGAAAAATTACATAGCTCTTCTCACCTTGTGCTTGAGGGAGGACGAAGGCTGAACACCTGTCAGTGGTGTACTCTACGAACCTGGGAGTGAAATATTCTCCCAGAGCCGAGATTCAGTCACGACAAAGGGTGAATTTGAGAGTTTTCGTCGAGTTGGCGATCGGGAGGAGTAGTGTTGGCACATTTTTGGTCGAAAGTCCGTCTTGCAGAGATTTCACGACTGCACAGCTCTACAAAATCAACCATCTACACCCCAGATACGAACGGCAGACAGCCTATAACCTGTCTGATGTTCGTATTACAACAACTGACACCTTCAATATCTTATTTTCTATTTCTCTGGAAATTCATTCTCAGCCAAGCTCATCTAGCGGCCCTCTCCACAATCATCTCACCATCTACCTAAGCAATCCCATACGTCCAAAAGCCAAATCGCCAACTAAGAAGTAAGAGGATGTCCGACCCTCCGCAACTGCCAGTCGCTGTGAAGGTACGGTCAAGATACCGGCCTTAGATGCGTCCTCACCTCGGCCAAAGGCACCAACAACTCGACCTGTGACGAATCGCCACCGACGAACTAAGTACGACATTTGGCCGGCACACCAAATAGAGCATTCGACAAAGGCTGGGGCACCGGTGCCTCGGTCTTGAGCTCTCAGTCGCGTTTTCGACCTCCACAGTCAGGGGTACGGTAGCGACGGGGCAAGGCCGGTGGGGTGGACATTCTACAAATTTTCTTGGATGATGATATCGGTCGAAGGATAGAGGGATGCTACATGAACGAACCAAAAGGGAACACAAACTGAGGAGGCCTTGGTGGGCGACTGGATGAGGCCTCCAGCGAAGAAAATGACACCTGGATGAGGTGAGGAGATGCTGAGATGAGCCAAAGCTGGCAATCATTCGAAGGGAAAAGTTACGGATGGCGAAGGTGTCAAGGGCTCGGGCGCGTGGTGGCCGAGGCTGAGGAGGAAATCGCGCTACGGCGTGTATACAGCGGGTTTCTGGACGGTTAGGCTTGGTATGATTCAACACATAGGTGAAGTCTGAGGTGGTCCGGTCATTTAGGTGGGACGAGGCACTTGTACTTTACGGTAGTTAACCTGATCCGGCCCGGCCCCACCCGTGCTTAAGCTCCAGTAGGAGTGCAACGGGAATTACTATACCTAGCACGTAAATGAACAAAACAAAACAAAACCTTGTGCTTGAGTTACAATAAGAATTAGATTTCTCAAATACAAAGTTATTTATTCGGAAGACACATGGCTTTACTCGATAATAACCTTATTTTACAGATGAATCCACCTCGTACCCCACCTTCAACACCTCGAATCAAACAATTATCCAGAGATCAAAACATTTTAGTAAGTAGGAAAATTAGATATGAACAAATATAAATTAAAAGAAAAATTAAGATTTATGGGCTTCATGAATCTGTCAAAAACCAGACGCAGATTGCCGCGCAACTAGGCATTTCTCGGGGACAAGTTAGTTATTCACTGCGCTGCGGAACTGTCTCCCCCAAAAAGAGAAAAAGAACATCCTCAAGGCTGAAAGTAGATGATGTTGATCGGATTATTTCTTACGTTGAGTCTTCACCTGGAAACGGCCGCAAAACATTTCTGGAACTCGCCTCTGGCCCCTTTAGACATCTTGGTGTTAGCGAGCAGGTAATACTAAGAAAAATTAAAAAAAAAGGATATCAGCGACATGTGGCTCGTCTAAAGCCTCCAGTATCTTAGAAAACTATGAAGACACGCAGAGAATGGGCCGAAGCTCATCTCAATTGGACATATGAAGACTGGACGTCAGTTTTATGGACAGACGAAACTTGGGTAGAGGATGGAAGACATTCCAGAGAATTGGTGACAAGAAGTGTTCGTACATTCCTCAAGAAGAAGATGGTAATTTGATTCTCTAACTTTATGAGCTAGACTTCCCAAGAATACAACGCTGATTGTGTTGGAGAAAAATCGAAGAATAGGATCGGATGGATGTTCTGGGTTTGCTTCGCAGGGCCAGAAAAAGGCCCTTGTTTGTTTTGGGAGAAGGAATGGGGTTCCATTAACTTCCAAAAATATTGCGAGAAGACAGTTCCTCTTATCGATGGCATGGTTTCGATGAGACCTTGGCTTCCCGTAATACAGGATAATGCTCCTGCCCACACAGCTGCAATTACAATGGAAGATATGAGCCAGAGGCTCATTCAACCGATTTTCTGGCCGGCCAACTCGCCTGACCTTAGCCCGATTGAAGCTATTTGGAATAAGATGGAGGATTACATCCAGCGTCATCATCCGATTCTGGGTTGCGGAAAGCAGCGAACTCAAGATATTCTTCGCAACATTGTAAAGGAGGCATGGGATTCCGTGTCTTCCGAAGATCTTGTGAGACTCATTCAGAGTATGCCAGCAAGATGTCAGGCTGTGGTAGATGCGGATGGGGGACCGACCAGATATTAAGGCCTGAAGATATTCCAGCTACACGTTCAGATCTAAGCTTAGGATAAGACTGGCTCTATTTTGTAATTTGAAAACCTTTGAATTCTTGTAAATAAGTTATAAAGTCAAGTAGCAAAAATGCACAAATGTTATGCAGCCGATCATTATCCAAATTAGGTTTAGTACGAAGGATAGACCCACTGCAAACTATGATGTCCAGATAAAAACTGCCATACAAAAATTTTAAAAAATTTGCACAAATACGGGGGCTAACTCTAATATGGAAGGTGACTATGCCTAAGGCATCTTAGTTTACACGCTAAAACCCCTGCCGAAGTCCCACTACAAACTTGACACCGTGGCACCACGGTAGGTTCTCCAGGAAAAAAACGACATTGCCTGTAGATCCCTGTCGACCGAGGTTAGATTGTCATACCATGTCTTTATCGCGGAATAGATGGCAGGGCTGATACGGAAATGCAGAGCTCTGCAAGTCTCACCAGTAACTTCCTTCAACGCCTGATAGAAGTTTAGCTTTTGTAGGCCCTCAGTCTGGTGATAACAAATCATGTGCTCATGGAATCTGAATGTTGTGAACGACTTGTGCTACGGATTCATCTCACTGTGATGGTTAATCAAAGCCTAGCCTTGGCTATTGATCAGTAGAGGTAAGAGTCGAGAATGAGAA